CATCACTATCACCTGCGAGGGAGTGAGCAAGTTAATGGAGAAACTGAACCCACACAAGGCCGGAGGGCCAGACGGCATCAGCCCTAGAATACTACGAGAACTAGCCGAGGAACTGGCGCCGGCACTGACAACCATCTTTAAATCTTCATTAACAACAGGCAGTGTCCCAACTGACTGGAGGAGTGCATATGTCATGCCCATCTTTAAAAAAGGGGAACAATATGACCCAACTAACTACAGACCAATTTCCCTGACATGTATAGCGTGTAAACTGATGGAGCATATTGTGGTCAAACATGTTATGTACCACCTTGAGTCACACGCCATACTGAATGACGCACAGCATGGTTTTCGCAGAGGTCGATCCTGTGAGAGTCAGCTGCTAGAAATGGTAGAAGAGCTAACGACCAACGTGGAAAGTGGGAAACAGACAGATATCCTAATAATGGATTTCGCAAAAGCATTTGACCGGGTGAGACCGGGTGAATCATAGCCTACTGATTCACAAACTACACCGCTTTGGAATCCAAGGATCGACTCTAGCTTGGATTGAGAGCTTTTTGAGAGACCGACGACAAGCAGTTATAGTCGACGGATACCAGTCCTCATATGCGAGCGTCAGATCAGGAGTCCCACAGGGCTCCGTCCTCGGTCCCTGTCTATTCCTTGCATATATAAACGACTTACCGGATAAACTAACAGCACTGGCTAGGTTGTTTGCCGATGATACTGCCATATATAACGTCATAACCAATAGGGAACAACAGGATCAGCTACAACGGGATCTAGAAAGGCTGGCAGATTGGGAAAAATCCTGGGATATGATGTTTCACCCTGCTAAATGTGTAACCATGACAGTGACAAGGAGTAGAAAACCCTTGGAGACATCATATGTACTCCACGGCCATACGCTTGAGACAGTAAGAACAGCCAAGTACCTAGGTGTCTCACTGTGCAGGGACGCGAGCTGGAATGTACACTACAATAATGTAGCAAACAAGGCAAACGGAGTTTTGTGCTTTATTAAGAGAAACCTTAAAATCAGCTCTGTTTCCATCAAGGAAAAAGCATACAAAACCTTTGTGAGACCCTTGTTGGAGTATGCTTCATCCGTGTGGGATCCTTACAAGCAGAAGGACATTGACAAACTAGAAAGCATCCAAAGACGAGCGGCGAGATATGTTCTCAACCGCTACCACAACACGTCAAGCGTGACCAACATGTTAGCAGAACTCGGCTGGCAACCACTGGCTGAACGCAGAAGGTCAGCAAGACTAGAGATGCTGGCTAAGATCAACCAAGCAATTGTGCAATGCCCTATTATAAAAAGCAAGCTTGTTCCGCCACCATCAAGAAGAAGACGCACACACAACTACCAGCTTTCCCAGATTAAGACTAGAACACAGTACAGAGACTTTTCATTCCTGCCTAGAACCATCAAGGATTGGAATGCAGCAGAGGTGGACACGGTGAACAACCTGGTGTCCAGCCTCATGTAGTCTTCACTGCTGTAATAGTATGGACGGGACTATGCGGAACTGACCCGGCGAGGTTAAATGGACTGTGAATACTGGACAATTTTTAGTATAAGGACCTCTGACCTGAAATGCCAGAATAATCGACGCCTCGATTGTGGGCATCAAGGGAAGAAGGGAAGAAGAAGAGAAATCCAAACAAGAGGTGAAAGTTCAGCTTGAGATGATGCAGAGGCAGGTGGAGACAGGTAGGATTGGAGTAGATGCCATGATGAGGGAGGTTAAGATGCTGAGAGAAAAAAATGAGAAAGCAGAGAAAATCATCCTGGAACAAAAGGAGGAAAACCAGAAGTTAAGTGAGGCCAACAAGAGGATGGCAGCTACAATAGAGGAACAGATGTATGCTTTACAAACAGCAAAGCCAAAGGGTAGTATTCAGGAGGAAGACCCAAGGAAGGAGGAAGACACAGGGAAGGAGGAGGACTCACAACAATCACAACAAGAAACAGACGTTCAGATTGAGACGATGCAGGAGAAGGTACAGACAGGTAGGATTGGAGTAGATGCCATGATGAGGGAGGTAAAGATGCTGAGAGAGAAAAAAGAGAAAGCGGAGAACATCCTCCTGGAACAGAAATCCAGCAGCTTCAAGAGGCCAACAAGAACATGGAGGCCAGAATAGAGGAGCTGCTGACTGCCAAGCAACCAGTGGAGGGTGGAACTCAGCAAAAAGATTCAGTTACTGTAAAACACATGTCAGACCAACAATCAACAGATAAGCCCACAGCAACAAATACTGGACAAGTCAAACAGTCAGTGGTTCAGCCTAAATGGAAAGATACAGGCACAAATGTCAGACCAATCAGGGTGGGACAACCATGGGTGAGGAAAGTCAGGTTTGGGGGAAAGGGATCAGGTAGGGGGGAATTTATCCATCCTTGCGGAGTAGCTGTCTCACAAGACAATGTGGTTTACATTGCTGATTGGTTAAACAGCAGAATCCAGGTGTTCACAATGGATGGTGTTTATATCAGAGAGTTCACACCAACTCTGACAGGGGAAACTGGTGAAAAGTTAAATCCAGAGGATGTTGCTGTAGACAGAAATGACAACCTGTGGGTGGTGAGTGGTAGGCATGTAGTGCTGCAGTATTCCAGGGAAGGCACCTGTTTGGCCACAATAGATCTGCCATATGTTGAATACGTCCGTGGCATCACTGTATCTATGGCAACAGAACAGGTGATTGTTACAGAGTATGATAGGCAGAATGGTCGACTTCGAGTGTTTAACCAAGATGGTTCTGAGGTGGGGACATATGGTTCAGGTCATAGGTCACCAGAGCCTTGGTGTCCAGGACATGTCACTGTGGATGGGGAGGGGAACATTCTGGTCACCGATGGCAACAATCACTGTGTCCATGTCTTGGACAGAGAGGGGAACTTCAAGTTCAAGTTTGGGAGTGAGGGATCTGATGACAGTCAGCTGAAAAATCCTTGTGGCATTTGTGTTGATGGGATGGGAAACATCATTGTGGCTGACAATGGAAATGGCTGTGTAAAAATGTTTGACAGTCAGGGCAGATTTCTGTCTTACATTGGAAGTGGTATGAAGAATCCCAGGGCTGTTACTTTGTCACCAGGTGGAGATGTGGTGGTGACTCATTGGAAAGATCACACTGTATCAGTCTGGACACAGGGTTAGTGCTGTATCATATACAGGTGACAGATCATTCATAACTTGAGTTGCCATGCAAAATCTTCGTGGTCATTGGGTTATTAGCAGTGTCCATTGTTCAATAAAGAATAATAATAAAGGAATTGTGCTGCTCATTCAGACACAGAAACTCAATACATGAACTTAACACAGTGTGTGTGAAGCTTTGCTTGTTGTACAAGTCATTTATACTATTATAATAATACTACTTGGAGGTTACAAAATAAAGATTTAAAATCAGTTTTTCCTTGTAATTATAATAAAGTTGTATGACTAATTCTTGAATAAATACAGTAGAACACTAGAATATATCCCAAAGTATCTTTCTTGATAAAAATCTAAAAGAAACAAAGAACAAAACTTCATTAAAAAGTTTCTTGTATGATGACAATCGGTCATGATTGACTTTTTCCAGATATATAATAAGTGATGAGAACACACTGAGTCACTTTAAGAACAAAGGACTGCATGTACCAAGACCGTAACGGAACAGATTCAACAATACATTATTTTGTACATCCCCAAAACTGTCTCCAAGTTTAGCCTGTCAGTGAGTGTCAGCCTTTTAGCTTTTGTTCGCTCCCCATGATCCGCTACTGGCCAAAACGTAGCAGATCGAAAGCTAAAAGGCTGACACTCAGGCTACTCCAAGATCATCCTAAACTGCTAAGTATAATTCATTTCTTACAGTCTAAAACATTCACGTCGTTCACAAACCACTCAGAAGGGCTTAAAAAAAAAAATTCTACCACAATTTATATATACTCATGCAGCTAGTGGGGCTTTTGAGTCTAAATACAAATCTCACAACCACAAGTTAGACCCCTGCATTGACAAAGCAAGTCATGTGTGAAGTTTGACCCTACATGACCTTATTAGGGAGTGTACTACTTCCTTACAGGAATAGTTTTTTTTTTCGTTTGCCCGCCCTAGGACAAAACTCCAGTCTGAGACCTTGATGAAAGGGTAATTAATAAAAAGATCTGTAGCCAGAAAGACCAAGAACTGTCTGTAAAACATGAGTAAACAATTACAACTGGCCATGACAAAGCGATCGCAGTACCTACTAATACACAAATGCCTCCGCCCCTAAGGCGTCGACAACAATTAGACCTGGTCTTGACAAAACAGGTTTTTTGTGCTGAAGGCAGGGATGCCGCCATGATTTTGGCAGCCAGTCAAGGAAACCGTTCTTGTCTTGAGGAAAGGTGAGCTGGCAGTTATTTTACCAGCTGATGTCAGGGTGTCACAAAACTACAACTAGAAATCTTTCAGTACAGGCACTTGAAAGTTGTCAAGCTTGACATTTTGTTCTGTAACTTTTCAAATCAACATTTTAGTTTCACACCCAGGCACTATGTGAGCCTGACTATGTACATGTACAGTGTAATGTTTGTTCACTCCTCGTACAGCTCTTGCTGTGAACATTCTAAGGCCTTCCCTGCCATTTAACATTGTAAGTTCAATTATATTTGTTTTTCAGAGATATTTGATGTATTCTTTGAAACTGAGCAGACAGCAAATGTGCTTGGAACATGTCTATACAAGGTGAGATCATATATTAAGTTTCATTCAATGACATATGCATGTACAGGATATCTTAACATCTTGACATGTAACTTGTTGTTGTTCCTAAGCTCTGAATAGTACTGCTGGTTTAGTTAATAATGGCTGAAGCCATATCAACTTATAAACAAAAGATACAGGCAAATAAGTAACCGATCAGAAACTTGCAATTAAAACTGTGTCATCTATATGACATACACAGAGTTTTACCAGTAAATCATTGAAGTTCACATTTTATTTGCGTGCCAATTTTTCTCAACAGTCAAAATGAATGTTGTTGGGTTGTTCTGCTACCGATATTATAAAGACTAGCTGGACAATAATGTAAGGGCCAGATATATAAATGTCATTGATTATCGTGGACATAACGCTGTATTCTATTGTATAGATAATCTGTAGTCACTCTGTACATAATGTATGACGAACTTTGTTTCCCATACTGTACATTCTATATCACCTTGCAGGTGTCAGGAGGTATTTCATCTTCATAAAGAACAAGGTGAGCTCAGACTGGAAGGACCTGGCTTGGTGTCTGGGGTTTGAGGCTCCAGATATAGAAAACGTAAAAGGCAAAGAACATGACGACAAGTCTCGCTGTATGGAACTACTGTGGGAATGGCAGAAGCGGAAGGGAAACGCGGCCACCATACATGTGCTGATGGAGGCACTAAAAAACGCACAGCTACAACTTGTTGTGGACAGTCTGAAGGGCGAATTTCCTGGTATGAGCCTTTTATCACATGAAAAAGTTGATCATTTTATTCCCCTTTCATGTCATTTTAAATTCCATGTTACATGTAACTTTTCATTTGGCATAGGACAAGTCAATACAATGTAGAAATTGTATAACATGTGCATTTTCCATGTTCATTAGATAATTAATGATATCATTGCCTTTAAAATCTGAATCTACTTGAACATACCCATACCTTTCTCAACAGAGTTGAATGAAAAGCCAAATTCTGATATGGGGAAGGCTGAGAACATTGAAGCCATAAGGAAGGAAATAAAGATGCTAGAAGAGAATTCGAAGAAAGCCCTCCTGGAACAGAAGGCAGAAATGAACAAGAAAATACAGCAGCTTCAGGAGACCATGATGAAGGAAATGGAGGCCAGAAATGAGGAGCTGCTGACTGCCAAGCAACCAGTGGAGGGTGGAAGTCAGCAAAAATATCCTGTCAAAACCATGTCCGACCAACTTTCTATCGATAAACCCACAGCAACAAATACAGGACATGTCCAACAGTCAGTGGTTCAGACTAAAAGGAAATATACAGGAACAACTGTCAGACCAATCAGGGTGGGACAACCATGGGTGGAGAAAGTCAGGTTTGGGGGAAGGGGATCAGGTAGGGGGGAATTTAAACGTCCTAGGGGAGTAGCTGTTTCACATGACAATGAGGTTTACATTGCTGATTGGTTTAACACCAGAATCCAGGTGTTCACAATGGATGGTGTTTATATCAGAGAGTTCACAATAACTCTGCCAGGGGAAACGGGTAAAAAGTTAGAACCACATGATATTGCTGTAGACAGAAATGACAAGATGTGGGTGGTGGGTAATGATTATGTAGCGCAGTATTCCAGGGAAGGCACCTGTTTGGCCACAATGGAACTGCCACATGCTCGATTTATCCGTGGCATAACTGTAGCTATGGCAACAGAACAGGTGATTGTTACAGAGTATGATGGGCAAAATGGTCGACTTCGAGTGTTTAACCAAGATGGTTCTGAGGTGGGGACATATGGTTCAGGTCATAGGTCACCAGAGCCTTGGTGGCCACTGTATGTCACTGTGGATGGGGAGGGGAACATTCTGGTCACTGATGGCAAAAATCACTGTGTCCATGTCTGGGACAGAGAGGGGAACTTCAAGTTCAAGTTTGGGAGTGAGGGATCTGATGAAAGTCAGCTGAAAAATCCTCAGGGCATTTGTGTTGATGGGAAAGGAAACATCATTGTGGCTGACAGAGGAAATGGTTGTGTGAAAATGTTTGACAGTCAGGGCAGATTTCTGTGTTACATTGGAAGTGGTATGAAGGGTCCCCAGGCTGTTACTGTGTCACCAAGTGGAGATGTGGTGGTGACTGATTGGACAGATAATACTGTATCAGTCTGGACACAGGTTTAGTGCTGTACCATATACAGGTGACAGAATATTCATAACTTGAGTTGCCATGCAAAATCTTGGTGTTCATTGGGTTATTAGCAGTGTCCATTGTTCAATAAAGAATAATAATAATAAAGGAATTTTGCTGCTTATTCAGACACAGAAAGTCAACACCTGAACTTATCACAGTGCTTGTTGTAATACTATTTGGAGGTTATAGATTATAAATAAAGATTTAAAATAAACTTTTTCTCGTATGATTGGTTTTTGATTACACATAGTACACAGTAACTGCTAAGGAAAAAAACACAATATACCTTCAAACACACAAACAAACATCTTTCACATCAAAGATGACTACCGGTAATAAATCAAATTTAAACAAAAAACGAAACTTTGGAAAGAGTTAAGATTTTCCACTTTTTACAGACACATGAATGGTATTATATCAGTGATGAGAACACACAGAGTAACTGACTTACTCTGAGAACAAAGCATTACCAAGACTGTTAAATCTATAAAACAAAACAGCACCCCAAGTACACCCTGACAACTGTCTCAAACACGGACAGTCTGAACAGTTACAGTTACTGTTCATTCCTGCTGGTCTAAACTATTCACATCATTCACCAACCACTCTGTAGGGCTCCAAAAACAAATTACACCACATCTATTCATACAGCCAGCGGGACTTTTGAGTCCAAGTGATCCAACACAAATTCCACAACCATATTTAGACTACAGCATTGACAAACAGAGCCAGTCACCTGTGAACTTTCACCCTGCATGACCTTGAGGGGAGTGTTCTGGCTTACAGGTGCATTCCTACAGGTGTAACAGATCCTGCACAGGTATTCAGTAACGGGGTCTATGATTGGTGCAGAGTATCTGTTTACAGATAATTGTTTAACAAAACAAGAGACTGTTGAAATGATTCTCTAATGCATTTAAGAAATAGGCCAAGTTAACTTTCAAGTAGAAAAGGTGGTATCCTGAAAATACTGCAGGCAGAAAAACCAACAAAAGTCACTCAGAAAACAACTGTTCATGACTAAAGTGACCAATGAGGAAGGCTGTAACAAGTGTCACTGTTCAAATATTGACTTTGACCTGAAGCCAGAGACGCCGCCATGATTCAGGCAGGCAGGCAAGGAAACAGTTCTTGTCTTGAGGAAAGGTAAGCTGGAAGTTATTTTTCCAACGTTACTGATGTTAGCATGTCAGAAAACTAAAAATATATCAACGCATAATTGTCAAGCAAGACTGTTTTTCTGTAAGTTTTAAAAATTTAACATGTTAGTTTCACTTCCTGGTAAATGTGTAGTGTACAGCAGCTCTATTAATTATTATACTGTTTATGTTTGGACACTCCCAGTGTCTGTCAATAGTATGCTTTGCCTGCCATTAAACATTGTAAATGTAAATTTTTCAGACGATTTCATGTAAGATTTGGAACTGAGTGAACAGCAAAGTGTTTGCAACATGTCTATACAAGGTGAGATCACAGAATCATACTTCAGGTTCAATGTTTAACCATGTAACTTTATGCTGAAGCCATTATATACCAACTTATAAAAATACAATTTTATGAAGACATAGGCAAAGGTTTAAACTGATCAAAAACTTCTTGATTTAACTGAACTTGTGTTACGACTTATGCAGAGTCTTGACATTATCATTGATGTTCACAATTTATTCAACAACACTAACTACGTGAGCCATTATTAACTTAAGTGTGCCATTTTTTTCTAAAGACAACAAGAAGCCATAGGTGACAATCCTCCGTGAAGTTTTACATATTTAAACAAAATCCAAAGCGTCAACGCCAGACCTACTGTGCAGACATTATATTAAATTAGGCAACGGTTAATACAATGAGGGCGCGTCACAACCATAAAACATACAAAGAGCTAAATCCATTACTGCTCCCAGGGCGTGTAAAGATACTGTGCTTCAAGTTCGAAGTTCATTTTAATAACACACACACAATCATTGCATTCACATAACTAGAGCTCCCCGATCTCATACCTTCGCCAAATGATGTTAATCTTTATGGCTGACAAATGATAGATTATTCCCCCTGCTTGTGCAAATAGGATCCTCTTTCTTATGAATTTTATCAGTTTATCATATTCTCAACCAAAAGACAGTCTTATATTAACAAACAATGCCATTCTAGCATTTCCTCATAAATTATGCAAATGAGGTCCTGATTTGAATACATTATGTTTAATGATGTTCACCTTCACTGTACTTTCAAAGACCATAAATATGAAATTCCAGGCAGTTATCATTACAGAATTATAACATTTTCTCATTAATTATGCAAATTAAGTCTTCATTTACATAATCAATATCTGCCTGTGTTTATCTCGTTCTCAATTACCAATGCGACAAGCTTCAATAGTCCTATGATGGAATGCAGCTGATTTATAGAATTTCTCCATAAATTATGCAAATTACATCCATATTTGAATAATTGTCACATAATTATATTAAGCATCACGTAAGCTACCTGCATACCAAAAATCACGACGATCCGTCAACCGATTCTTGAGTTATTCTCTTTTGAATATATTCAAACAGATAGTCCTGCAGTTCCAGAGCAAGCCGCTAGGGGGCCCAAACTCACGTCACTTCTTTCCCAGCACAAGAGCT